GGACTTTAGTTGCTAGGCTACCACACTAGGCCCATGATTCACGTTTTAAAAGCTTTTCAGCATATTTAAGTAGGTTTGTAATTTTGCTTCTCTTAAAAATGTTTTGTTTTAAAAACAAGTCTTTAAGAACTGTCCCATCTAGTTGTTTCAGTTTAATTTGTGTGGAAAGGATGAGTACATGTAAGATGCGTAACTACAGAGGAACGTTTAAAAGGTGGATTCTGTGAGATGAAACACAAGCCATTTTAACAAGTAGTTTTCTTTTAAACATTAAGATATAGTTCAGGACATTTCAGTGACAAAATGATCTACTAAGGGATTTGGCTTGATAGCCTAACACTTTAGAACACAGAGTTAACAATGGGTGACATAATCTTATAACAAATATTACCCACGAGCTCGTATGAAACTTTAAAAGTATTACTAGCTCTGCTGATGTCTCACATCACAGTATCACTAAGGAGTAGGAAGAAATAGTATCTTCACCTTAACTAGTTGTCACGCCATACATATTTTTAAAATGTTAATAAAAAATCTGAAAATATTATCAAAGGTAATGAGTGTAAAAGCATTGAATGTGTGTGCAAGCCATCTGCCTACTTCCACGTGTGATGTGTCATCACTGCCTTTGAAGGGATGATATTTCTTCAGTGTCCTCGGCAGTTGGGTCACCTTCATCCAGCCAGATCAAATTTGTGCCTGGGGATCTTCCAGACTGAAGCCAGAAAAAAGGAATGCAGTTTCAGAAAGCAAGAAGACCAAACTTCCGTGAACTTCTCTTTCATGTCAGTCTCTGCTTTTTGTCTTCAAGTCTCAATAATGAAAAGGGAAGGATTTATCTGCCAGGTGTTTCTCTGTGGAGTTGTCTCCTGGGGCCTCAGCTTCCATGACCCTTTCCATGTCACCTGTCTAGCCATATACTTGTGACAATACAGCATGGGATTTGACACAGCCATCTTTGCAACTTTTTGTTCCAGTATATCTCATGATTTTACAGAGGCTTTCACTGGACGTAGTATTTGTCACTATGTTCAGTCATGGAGATCACTTCTAAGGCGACTTTCAAAAGGCTGAGTTTGTTATGTGTTCCTGGGTCGCACGTGTGATGGTTTAGATGTGTCTGTGTTTTCCTTTTATCCTGGCACAGTAGTCCTTGAGGAAATGATCACAGCACCAAAAGTAAATGTGTAGTATTTTATCAGCTCAGAAAGATTCTTTGGGTTTTTAGTCTTCGTGTGTTCCAAGCTTTAGAGAACTGCTTGCCAAAGGTTTTATAGCTCTGTCTACCTTCTGCTGGTTCGCTGAGGAGTTCTAGACATTTTTTGACCAAATTCTCGTGATAGCTCTCAAAACTTTGCCTTGTTGTAGCACCTCATGGGAAATATTTAGCTAAAGCTCCTCAGATTCCATCATCCCTCTAATAATGCTCAGATACTCAGGGATTAGCCCCTCAGTTATCCATGTGAAAACTCAGCAAACACACAACTCAATGTTGTTTTCTTTTTATTTTCTTAAAAGTCAACAGGAGCAAATCTTAGAAGAAGTAGAGCTCTGAATGCCAGTTTTTCTTCAACTGAAAACAGCTTGGCCACTCAGTGGTCTCCCCAGTCAATAGTCAAGTGCTTATATAATTTTCTATACTCATCATTAATAATATCGTCAGGTTTTCTGGTCCAAATAGGCTTTGTTTTATTAAGCCCTAATCGGACAGTGTACTCCCTAATTGCCTTTTTCTTCTTCTTCCTGGTCAGAACCAGCATCTATTTCAGGTTTCTCATCAGACTCCTTTTCTTTTTCTTCCACTTTGTCTTGCTTTTCCTCTACTTGATGGCTTTATTGTGTTGCTTCTCCACAGAAGCGTGATCAAGTAGCCAATCAGCTGTAAATGCGTCTAGGATCTGCTTTCTCCTCTCCAAATGCTCAGTAGGGTTTTTGGCCAGATACAGGACATTCTTTGCCCTGCACTTCATAGAGTCACCTTGGTCAGTAATCAAGATGAAGTGTCCCCAAGCAGAGAGGACTCCCAAGGCATACTAGTTGTTGTTATTATGCTTGGTTATTACAGTCACCTTCTCAACAACCAGAAATGCAGAATAAAAACCAATACCCCAACTGGCCTAACTGGTGATATTTGCACCAGCCTCCAGAGCCTCCATGTACACTTTGGTCTCAGACATGGCAAAGGTACCAGGATTGCATTATTGATCAAGTAAGTCAGTCTTGGTCATTTCCATCCCTGTATCCATGGTGATCAGTATTCCAACTTGCTTTTTTTGAAATGAGATTCGTGTGCAGCTCTTTCCTTGAGGTTAGTTTTCTAGGGTCAGTCAAGCTAGCTTTTATGTCTAGAGCATCTGATGAATTCAGAATCAGCTCCTCAGGAAGATTTGTTTGTTCTAGTAAAAAGTATTGAGGATGGGTGGCATCAACTGGACAATTTCTGTCTGAAAAGCAGAGATGTCCACCCTTTCCTCCTCCAAAGGCTTGTTTTGGGTCTGGCTCTCCTTGGACATGTTGGCTGAACAACCACATAGCCTCCATGAAGAATAGTCTTAGGATGCAGAAGCAACTGTTTGTTTCATTTGCTTTTCTTCCTGAAAAATAAGAACCCTACCCTTCCCTCTGTGTGAGGGTGTATAATCTCTAATTCATGTCTTTATGATCCTTCTTGGAGAGAGATTATTTCTTATAAGAAATTTATCCTTATACAGAAAAGGAGTAAGATATCCCATGCACTACTCCAGGCTGCAGGATTATTTATGTAAAGCAGTGGTAAAGTATTGTGGGGCCAGTGTTACAACACTGTGGGTTAAACCTCTGCATTCTACAAAGGCATCTGGTATTGGGATGTCTGGCTTTGAATCCTGGTCTCTGCTTTGAATCCAGCTCCCTGCTCACTTGTGTAGCTGGAAAGGCAAGGACGATGGCCTGATGTACCCTCTATACCGCAATGGAAGACTTGGATGAAACTCTTGGTTCTTCCTGGGTTCTGCCTGGACCCGTCCTGAGTGATGTTACCATTTAGGAAATGAACCAGCAGATGGGGTATCTCGCTCACTCTCTAGGTGTGTGCACTTGTATGTGTTGGTTTGTGGAATTGTTCTTTATCTCTGTGTCTCTGGGCTTTACATATAAATAAAGTTGTTCAATACATTTTTTTTCTTTAAAAAAGAATAGAACTTTCTGAGATAATCAGAGGACCCATGTCCAAATGGTGTACCCTTGAGCGAGTGCATGGGTCTGAATCCCAGCTCTTTGATTCTGGTTCCCTGCCAATACAGACTGCTGGATGAAACAGGTGGTGTCTCAAGTGATTGGATCTTGCCCACGTATGTGGGAGACAAGCATTCCTCATGCCTGGCTAGGACCATGGTCCCTGGCTGTTGTAGACATTTGGGAAGTGAGCCACTGGATAGATTCATTCTCTCTCTCCCTTTTCCTCCCTCTCAAATCAGAAGCAGAAACACAGAGTGAATCCTACTAATTTGACAAGTGGCACATGTTCTTAGTTCAATGACGCATTGGCCAAAATAGACCAGTTTCACTTCTTTAATGTTTTATTATTTGTGATATCCTTTGTGTTCTCCAGATGACTTTGATATAAACTGTGTGACTCTCTTTTCTGCCTGTCTTGGATGGATGCTTTGTGCAGAGAAGCTTGGAAAGACATGAGTTACATGTGTAGATTCCATATGTCAGGGTCCATCGTCCTGTCAGATTTCTTTGTATGTGACTGAGTAAAAATTACCCATTGGGGCAGAACAAAGTAGGATTCCTGGCAAGATTAGAAGTTACACATACAAAGTCTTGGAGGCAAAATGAAAATGCAGCATATTTGGGAAAATGGAAGATTTTCACTTGGGAGTGTGTGAGGGTGACAGCAGATAAGGAAAGGTGAATTGAAACAGCACTGTGAAGAATCACACTCATGATAAAAGACCTTGTGGATCAGCTACTGATTTATATATTGTGCTAAGGGAACCTTCTCCTTCTGTAGCGCATACTTAGCGCTCAAGAGTTTATCCGCCACTTGTCCATGTTCCTCCCTGGATTGTACATTCTGAGAAATCAGGAGTATCTACCTCAGTTTTATCCGTCATGTTTTAACATGCTGTGTGGCAATAGGTGCTCAGTATTTTTTTTTTTTGCTTTTTTGCATCAGTGAGTGATCACCACCCATGGTGAGGGCAGGTATTAGAGAAAGCTGCTCTAACATTGCCATGTACATTTGCCATGGACTAGTAGCAACTCTGTGTTATAAGGAATCGTGGAAGAACATTCATCCAAAATGTTACGTAAAAGTGATTATCTTGTTCTTGTTTATATCCTGTAGCCATTGAACTCTACATTTTGGTTGTAGTACTTCTAGAATGAATTCTCTTTCTGCAGTTGGCGTTTGTTATTTTTGTTCTTTGTCTTCAACTATCAAAGTAAGTTTGCTTATTCTTCTATGCTTCAGTCACTCAAAAAGTTGAAACCAACTCACCTGCTACTCTCTATCTTCTTTTCCTCACATAAGTAACTCCAATCTTTACAACCATTTGTGTATGAAACATTGATTTTCTCTGTAGTGTTGTCTCGCCAATGTCCCTTATGAGGAATGGCATCGTAATTTGATGAGATTCTTCAGAACATGGTGTGAGGCTATTAAATATTCTTAAATTTGGGCAGTACTTTGTTTTCAGTATATTCTAAATGACAGTTAACAGGATTAGCTGAGAAGTAGAAGTAAATTTGATGGGAATATTGGTTTTATTATGTGTGTTACAGCCTCAGTGTTCATCATCTTATTAAAATTGAATTGCAACATTAGCTACACTTGAAATATTGAAATATTTTCTTATAAAATATTTTGTTAAAATGTTATGTAATACAATGGGATTCTAAGCTAGTTGAAATTGTGATTTATATTTTTTAATATTTGAGATTTTTCTGAATCAGTCTTTTAAGCCATAGCTCATATGTAGACATCTGATTTACTTATAATTTTTTATTTTTAGGATTTGGAAACATCTCACCACGCACAGAAGGTGGAAAAATATTCTGTATTATCTATGCCTTGCTGGGAATTCCTCTCTTTGGTTTTCTTTTGGCTGGAGTTGGAGATCAACTGGGGACCATATTTGGAAAAGGAATTGCCAAAGTTGAAGATACATTTATTGTGAGTATGTTAAACTTTTGACTGCACGTGTTTTTCTTTAACTCTTTAAAATATTATGGCTTTTCTGTAATGCTAAAAATTCAGTCATTAAGGTTGTTACTCCAATATTACGTGACTCCACTAACATCTAACTTGTTTATCTTAATTAGTTGTATGGATAGCTGAATGCATAAATTAGTGCACAAGGAAATTTCATTTGTAAGAAATAGCAGAAATCAACAATAACAGATTCAAAATCTACATTTACTCTTTCATAATGTAGTAATTTTATCCTCAAACTTGCATTTTCCTTTCTCTATGCTGTGAATGGTGGTACTATGGGGTGTTACTCAGAATGTTGTTGCCAATATACTAAATCTTCTAGAGCAAATGATGGATAATTTTCTATTTTTTACAATGCAACAATAATGCATACTTTTTATTATTTTACAATGCTGGTGGCATTGTAAAGTTATGTAACCACTTTTGGGAATTTGTATTATCAAGTAGCAAACATATAGCTTGATTTATTAATGACATTGATAGGAACTTGTTTAAGAAATGTAATTCAGCATAACTTCCAAATAATATTAACATTTAATGACAGTAATGAAACGGTAATGTGCTATTGAATATTATTTGCTAAATTGAAGCTATGTTTCTAGTTTCAGTGTTGATCATACTTCAGATTTACAGTCAAAGTTGCTCAAACATTTTTATTGTTGGAGTGGGATAAGATATCATTGTTCTAAAATAGACATCTCAGGAGTGGGTGTTGTTGCATGGTCCATTAGGCTGCTGCTGGGACACCTGTATTCCTTGTCTGAGTTTGAGTCCTGGCCTCTGATTTAGCTTCCTGCAAATGCATCCCGGGAGGCAGCAATGGATGGCTCAAATGTCTGGTCCATTGCCACCCATTGAAGACCTTGGCAGATGTCCAGGTTCCTAACTTAGGCCTGACCCAGACGTAGTTGTTGTGGGCATTTTGGAAGCCAACCAGCAGGTGGAAAATTCATTCTGTTTTTGTCACTCTTTCTATCAAGTAGATAAAAATAAACAAACATTTCAATGATAAGCTAGGAGTTTTTTTGTTTTGTTGGTATTATACTTTTCTTGTGTCGATATTACAAGTGTTCTGTACATATGTCAATCAAAACAGCAGGTTAGTGTCATAAATTTGGTGATACTAGACAGTTTATATTTTTATTCAGTGATATTAGAGTACTTGCTGGATTCTGAATGATGTTTTTCGTGTTATGTGTACATCCATACATAAACAGATTCCTTGCCCTTGTGGTAATGGCATTCCAGTACCCATGATCTAACATTGGATATCAAGGGCTATTTTTTTTTTAATTTACAATTATGAACTGATTTAACTCACATCTGAGGAGAGGATGGTGGGTTAGAGCAACTGATGTCGTCTCTTGTCTTCCCTGGTGACTTGGAAGATCTCTCTGAAAATCCCTCATACTCCAACATCCCATGATTTTTATTAAGGTGACCGAAAGCTTTTTACAGATGTAGTCAGAGTTGGAAACATATAGCAGTTCATATAGTTCAAATTAAGAACTGGGAGCAGACTGCTGCATAGATTAAAGCTTCACTTGTGGAAGTGTCTTCTTGGAAAAGGGTGTGCACAAATAGGAGTGCTTGATGAGAGCTGTGAGTTAGGGGTGGTGAATTCCCAACCTTACTGATGAAACATTTACCCCCGTTGTATGAGTTAAGACCGTGGGAGAGGAAAAGAGAAAAGTCTTTAGATCCTTTGGTTTTATACTCAAATCAAGTGAATTAATGAAAGAAGTAGTCTTTGTAATTTTGAAACATAAATTAATTTCATACTTAAATGTTTGCCAGTTGTCAATTGTGAATATAAAGTTCTTCAATTTCCTATTCTATATATTTTGAAATTGTGTTTGGCCCACGATTAATTGTATGCTTATAGACAAAAATATTTTAAAAGCATATCAAGTTAACAAAGGATGCACTTCAAAGTTACATTCTCAGATCACATGTAATGTACTTTCGAAAGGGTTTTACCTGTTGTAGAGCTTTGTAAGTATAAAGTAGCATCCTTGTTAGCATTTACTGCTTTTATAAAGTTATGTCCAATTTTCACTGAAAGTTACCTCTAAAATGGATTAAGACATGCTTACTTGCTAATGATAGTGTGGAGATTGTCTTTGGGAATCCTGGTAATCTCTCTCTCCCTCTGTTCCCACGCTTCTCTCTTCTGCCCGACTCTGTCTGCTCCCTAGAAATGGAACGTTAGTCAGACCAAGATTCGCATCATCTCCACGATCATCTTTATCCTGTTTGGCTGCGTGCTCTTTGTGGCTCTGCCTGCGGTCATATTCAAGCACATAGAGGGCTGGAGTGCCCTGGATGCCATCTATTTTGTGGTCATCACTCTCACAACCATTGGATTTGGCGACTACGTTGCAGGTAAGACTTTCTTGGTCCTGACGTTGCTCTCCTGACCTGTGTCCTTTAGGTGCAATTTTTAGTTAAGTTTCTGACAAAACATGGTGGTCCTGTGGGTGTCCTAGGAATGTTATTTTAAAATACCACAGACTGGGTAGCATTAAATTCATAGACAGTCATTGTCTCCCAAAAAGTGTCAGCAAGGCCATGACCTTGCCTAACCTCTGGGTAGAATCTTCCATTGCCTCTTCCTGATTAGCCATCCTTGGCTGGCAACTGCATTGCTCCCAACTCTGCCTCATCACTACAAGGCCTTTATGCTTCTGTTTCTGTCTCCAAACCCCCTGGTTATTTTAATGACAGCAGTGAATGGGCTAAAGGCTCACCCAGTCCAGGAGGAGCTCATCTTAGCTACTCATAGCTGCACGGGTCTTATTTCCAAACAAGGTCACAGTCTGAAGGTGTACAGGGGTTTGCAAATTCATGGTGTCTTTTTTTGGAAGATGAAGAGTAATTTCCTAACTCTGGATGTAAACAGAAGGATGATACGGAAAGTGTGTGTGTGTTTTAACCTTTAAAAACTTCTTGCTTGTTAAGAATTGTACATTCCTACCTTAATTTCATGAAGCAAACATCTGCTTCTTAGGTGGTCCATTTACTTTTGCAGTGATAAAAGAATTCAGGTTTGGACCTGGCACGGTGGCATAGTGGCTAAAGTCCTAGCCTTGAATATGCCAGGATCCCATACGAGCACTGGTTCTAATCCTGGCAGCTCCACTTCCTGACCAGCTTCCTGCCTGTGGCCTGCGAAGGCAGTTGGGGATGGCCCACGACCTTGGGATCCTGCACCCACATGGGAGGCCTGGAAGAAGTTTTTGTCTCCTGGCTTTGAATAGGCGCAACTCTGGCTGTTGTGGTCACTTAGGGAGTGAATCATCAGATGGAGGATCTTCTTCTCTGTCTCTCCTCCTCTCTGGATATCTTATCTAATTTTGCAATAAAAATAAAATAAATCTTTTTAAAAAAGAATTCAGGTTTAACATATCTTTGACTGTTCTGTGTGGACCCTTTCTGCAAACTTTAAAGGAGTACTTCTTGGTTACCCAAAACCTTCTTTTTAAAGAGATATTTATGTATTTCATTGTTCGTTCTGAGAGCAGTATTTTTGACTGAGCTCAGTGGGTGAGATGGATCTCAGTGTCTGCATTATTGGATTCGCCCTTATTTCTTTATTTTTTCTTATGTTATCTTAACTGCTGTGTGTCTTATTATTGTAACTCTTAGATCTTACATTCTGGTCCGTTCAACTCTCTTTCTTAGAAATGCCAATTTTGCCCTTTATTATTTTTTGTTATTCCAGTTTTAAATAAATTGTAGAACTAGTGGTGCAAGCAAGCACATTAATATTCTGTTGTGGGTCATTTTTACCAATTCCGCCAAATAAAAATCATTCTGTGAAACAAAACCCAGGGGGATGTTAGAAAGTTGTATCAAACATTGTGGTAGAGCTTGGGGATTTCAATTTCTCAGGCTAAGCTTACACCAGCATAATTTGGTTTTAAAAGAATTTTATACTTTCTGGCTCTTTTTTGTCTTGATTCAAACTTCTTAAATATTTTTAGAAAAGAAAATACACTCTGAAGTGCTAGAAAATCTCAGGATGGATGGTTCACATTTCTGTTGATTTGTTCATTGCAATTTAACCTGGTAAAGCCCTCACCGTGGCTAATGGTTGTATAATATCCTTGAAGAGGGCGAGATTTTCATGAGCGAAGCTTTGCTTTGTGCAGAATTGATCCACAACAATTCTCTAAAAAGAAGGCTGCAGCTCTCTGTTAGAGATTTTAAATTTTATGATTACCATAGCGAGAGTTTCAGACTTTGAAACTCCATATGAAAAGACAGATTTCTGTCCCCAAATTCCCATTTTTTTTTAACTCTCACTAAAGTTGTATAATTGCTTTAAGTAGAAGTGAAAAATCTGTTGATTTAAAGAGAAAATGAAATCATTGAAAAGAATACTTGTGGCCCTGTCATCTTGCGCTGCCTTACCATTTTATAAATATGACTAACAAGATTTTGTAGCAATTGTCAAGTGTTGTGGAATTATGGGATCAGGCCTAGTGTGGAACTCACATCCTTATGCTGAATGTATTTAACTTTAAAGAGTGCACGGACTGTGGTAATCCAGTATGTGACCCTCATAGTCCAAGTGACTCTAAAAATAATAAAGATTACAAATTTTAAAAACTGTGGGTGGGTGAAATCCTAAAATAATATTGTCTTTGTGGCAACTGCATAAACAGAGCTAGGGGAAATATAGTTTTGTTTTATGGTTTTATAAATGAAAATAATTTTCCTCTAAACTTTACCTTTATATCAACACTAAAATTAGCTATCTCATGGGGGCTATTAATAGCCAATCTTAACAATCCAAAGAAAGAAATCCAGCGAAAACACCTCAAGTATATCCGTGAGGATCTTGAATTCAGAGTCTTCACCCACTGTCATTAGAAAACGGGCTGATAAAATATTTGTATGCTATTTAAAAGTATAATCTAATAACTAATTTTGTTATTTTTAGCTTGGTATTATATTCTTCCCTTCCTTAAATTTGTTAATTTAATTTTTATTCTGCAGAGTAACAAAAAAATGGTAGGAATGTGCCTTCACAGTAATTAACATAGGGATTTGATATGATTAAAATGACAACTGCAGAATAAGATTAATAAGAAGCAGCAGATCAGTGGTGCTGAGTTTGTGTTTCCTTAATTTGTGTATTTATGTTGCCCTGTGTGAACCTGTGGGATGGTGTCCCTAATACTGTCGGTCCCACCTGCCAGATCCGCACAACCATGGCATTGTTTTGGAATTAAAATGTGGATGAGGGGGCTGATGTGGCAAAGGTTGGTCCAAAAATGTGTGTCCTTGATGATAAGTTTCGAAAAATGAAAACTGAGGCTTTTAAAAAATGAGTCTTAGAAAGCAATTGCTCATCTATTTCAGTAGAATATGCAAAATGAGCTTTTACATCTGCATAGTTTATGACTGCAAAGGTAACTGTCCAGCTAAGGCGACCTCCCCATGGGGAACCATCAGTCATTTATATTTCAGAACCTTCCTTCTTGTTACTATGTGTCACACTAGACAGATTCTTTCCACCTGTTGCAAATGTTATCAGTGACATTAAAAAACCTAACATGAACCTTCTCATCTTTCTGTTAAACTGTGTTTCAAAAAAATAAAGATGTGCCTTCTGTAACATGTACTCATAATCTGATGGCCACTTTAAGCCTTTCTGAATAGGAGTAGGCTTATGCTTTAATTCAATTCTATTATTATTTTGCATGATGCAATTTATAGGTATTCCTACCTTCAGTTTTTTTTCCACCCTTCCCCCCCCCATATTGTCACTGTAATATAGTCCTTTAGTTACAGTTACAAATTCAATATTCTGCTGTTAAGTGTGTCATGGCTAAGGTAGGAAATCCTGTGTCATATTATCAAGGTATATTTGAACTGATTAATTGAGAGTCCTTTTTTCTGTGTAGTAGAGATGTGTACTGCAGTGTATCTTCACTCACTGCCATTGCTATACTGAACATCCTTGAAGAAAGTTTTAAAAAAAAGTTTTTGCAACTGTGGTGCTGTTAAAGGAAAATAAACACTTTTTAGAAGGTGATTTTTATAAACTTATTTGAGAAGGACGGCAGGGAGGAGGAGGAAAGCGAGAGAGAGAAGGCATACTCCTTTGGTTCTCTCCTATGCACACAACAGCCACTGCTTGGCTGGGAACTCCTCCAGCTCTCCCGTGTTAAGTCATGCTTACCTCAGAGATTGGGAGCTGGAGCCATCAGCTTTACATCACTGAAAACCCAGAACTAATGTTAGTTCCCTGGGAATTCATAGCAGATTGTCTTTTAGTTATTCAAACTTGCATTTACAGCTCGTTATCTTGGTCCGTGTCTGTAAAGTATACATAAAAGCATTGGTTAGCTATTCTTTAGAACTGGAGAAGCTCCAAATATTGTCTAGCTGAATACAACTTGAAGTCACTTTTTAAAGCTAGTGTCTCCTTTAATATGGGTACAGTATAGGGATGATGTTAAGAAATAACTCCATGGCTTGTTTCAAAGTTGCCCCAGGAAATGTTTAAAAATACTTAACTTTCCTAAAACCAGTTATTTCATAGAGACAAGCTGAATGAGTGAAAGTCAGATGCCAATTTATGGTTTTCACAAATAAATGCTCCTATATTATCAACTTTTAAAATAACCAGAAATTCTGAAATTAAAAATAATTCTCCTAACTGATATCATAAAAACACATATTCCATCTGAGCATATGTTTATTTAGCCATGCATAAGTATCCTCAAATTTTGAACACTGAAATTTAGTATAGTTGGTTAAATAATGAAAATTTCATAACCCTGTGTGCAGTTAGTGAATGTTTTACCTGATTGATCTGGCATTTTGCTTAGTACTCACTTTGTACCGAAAAAAAAAAAAAGTAATGTAATTTGGGTCTTTTCCAGGAAAAATTATTCTCCATTTGGTACTTAACCTTTGTTATACTTTTTCTAATTTTTTACAATTACATAATTACTTACTGCCAGATTTTTTTACTTGGAAACAACTTATTTGCATGTTTTACGCTAGTAATTCATTTTCTTAGAGTTGTGTTTTAAGGGTCATTACTGGAAATGCAGCTTTCCGTGACCAAACTCCTAATTTCCTTTATAAGTGAAAATGTGACTCATTCAATGGAGCACTCAGAGCTGGCTTAATTGAAGGGAGTTTTGTCATGAAAGCATATCAGTTTCTCTTGAAATACCATAGTAAGTTGTTGTTGCCATTTAAAACAGTTTGTTCTAGTAGAGATCTTCTAGAAACCAGTGTCTGATGTTGCCTAAGAATTTTGCAATTATGTGGAGAGAGAGAGCTGGTATTAAAATTGCTATTATTGAGCTGACCACCAGATAAAATCTTGGAAGAATTCAACAGGTAATACAGACACTTTGTCAGGAATGATGTCTGAAAACCAGTCATCAGTACTTGCATGATCACCATGATTGAGAAAGTAGCATTGGTTTTAAAAAGAGGCTTATGGATAGCTCATGAAAATGGATTATATTCCTCATTCATTTGTTCGTTCATTCATCTAGTTGTTGAGACAAATTGTCCCAGCTAGAAACTCTACCCAGCCTCTCATGAAAATAATTAATCTAGTTCCTGTTCCTTTGGAACAGAATGTATGAAATGCAGGAATAGCAATGCAAATAAGTAGACTCTTCCTACTGTTCTATGTCATTCCCTTGGAAAATTCTGGAAAGGGTCTGGTCATCTCTCCCTATGGCCAGTGACTGTCAGACAGCACACAAGAGAATTGGCAGCCATGTGCATGATTAACTAATGGGATTTGACACAAATTGTTCAGAAGTCCTAGGACTGTGGACAAATCAAGAAATTAAGTTCTGCTTCAGAGTGAGTATACAGAAGCATTGTAGAAATAAAGAGGAAAAAAAGCAAAGAGGAAAGCATTGAATCACTGATAGTTGTGGCTTTGTGAGGCAGGCAGTAAGTTATACGTTCAGTGAAGAAGCCTACAGATTGCTCTATATTGAGATGTGAAGGTAATTTCTAGGGATGAAACTTCCATCTTTACCGAGGGTAACTGAGTGACTCAATGGGTTGATCTTTCATGATCATGACAGTATTCTTTTACTGATGGCATTCTTCCTAAATTTAGAACACTTAGTAAGAAATATGAAACTTTCTAGAACACTGAAGTCTGGAATCTCAAAAACTAGTTAAAATGTTAGGGAGATTTAATGACATTTTTTAGCCTTTGGAGGGTTTTGTTATTTGTTTACTCGATAGTATCTGAGATAGTATCAATATATGAGCTCTTAGCCTCTCAGTTCTTGAAACAAGGAGAAGGACTGTGTTTAAATTACCTACATAAAATAACATAAAAACATACTAACACAAAAAGGAGGACTTCTCCCATCCTTCCTACAAAACATCAGGCTAACTTGCATTAATAAAGTTACACAAAGTAGTTGAAATCAAATTTATATCCAAACTATAATACTTTGAGTATAAAGAATAACGTCATTGTGTTTAGAATGAAGTTATATATCCTAGTCTGCATGCTATAATATAGGTTTATAAAGATGAAATGCATGGGAAACATTAGTCCAAAATGGCTAGATTCAGGGAATTAAATCACAGGGAAAGAAAATTCAATGTAAGAGGAGGGGGTGTTTAAGTTCTTTAGGACAGGCTCGCCAGGGTTGGAAACTTGCAGCCTGAGGGATGCACAAGGAAAGGAAATCCCTGGTAAGATAGCACTTGTCCTTGAACCCACACGATTTCCAGCTCAGAACCTTGAAGGGGAAGAACATGCCTTGTGTGGCTTCCTGCTCTTAGTCATGAACTGGGGATGCTGCGGTTTGAATGTTCGTTCTTTACAAAGTCTGTGTCAGAGTTTAATTGCCTTTGTGACAACACTAGGAAATGGAACACTTACGAGATGCTTAGGTTGTAAGGGTGCCACCTGCATGGGCAGTATTGGTGCTGTGTTCAAAGGAGCAAGTTCACCTCCTAATCTTTCTCATTCTCTCTCTTGCCCTTCTACCTTCTGCCATGGGGTGATGGGTCTTCCAGACACTTGCACCTTTGAAATTAGAATTTCAGCCCTCTAGAACCGTGAAAAAATAAATTTGTATTTATCATAAACAGAATTTTCATTTATACTATTCTGGTTTTGGTTTCTATTACAACAGGAAACCTTGACTAAGATAACATGATTGACAAGGAGAGTAGTCGGTATTTTAGGTGACACACACAATGAGAAGAGCCTTTGCTTTAGCGCCATGTAGATATGGCTTGAACTCCACTTCACTTGCCCTCTTTCCTGTATGATCTGCTCTATATAATTTTTTTCATGGACGTTATAGTAAAGATAGTTACCATCGTGATTTCAAGGATACCAATTCAAATCCTTCTGTCCTTCTAGGTACTGAATAGACTCGGGAAGGTGACAGTGCTGGCAATGAAGCCATCAGCTTTTTTACTGAGAAAGACAGCTAGAGACATGTAGCTTATCTGTATGACCTGATGGTCTCAGGACTGTCCCTGCATGAGTCAGTGGAAGTCTACCCCAAGGGCTTACCCCAAGGGCTTTCATTGGTGCTCAGTAAAGTTTCAAATATTCTACATATCAGTTGAAATGTCTATATAGACTAGGATGTAGGATTGCCAGGGCCAGACAGAAAAGTCTGCCAGGAGTGGCCTGCTATGACCTCATGGAGAGCTTTACTGCTCTGAGACTTTGTGGGACCAGAGCTTCATTAATGCTGGGTGGAAAGACTGTTCCCAGCATATGCTTGTGCTACATTGGATTAGATTGAATGAGTTTCTTTTGCAAGTTTCAGCAAGTATCAGAGAAAAGATACAAAGAAGGGCGCCACCCTCTCAGAGGCTGCCACCTGTCACACAAGGGGGGAATATTAGACCTTTTTTTTCTTTTTTTTGGTTACTGGGAAAGTTTGTGTATTCCTGAACCTGTGCACCTCCATCCATCTTTACTGCTTTTGTTATCATTTGAGAGTTCTTCCTTAAAGAAAGCACGAGTGGTTACAAGAACAGTAAGAAGTATGGAATGAATATTCCTGCCAGGTAGCTGAGGTGTCTGGGAGGGAGAGTGGATTGTAGCACCCTGCAAGAATCTGCAAACACACACACACACACACACACACACATGAAAACAGCTTATTCTCTTTCTTTAAAATTTTTAAAGAAGGGGTACATTTACTTGAGAACCAGTTGTCTCATGTGGGTGACAGGAACCCGATTATTGGAACTGTTGCTGTGCTCCCAGGATCTGTATGGATCTGTATTAGCCGAAAGTTGGAATGCAGGGCCTATGGCCAGGACTTGAATGGAAGTAATCTGATGGATTCAGCATCCCAACTGATGTCTTAATTGCTAGACCAAAACCCCACTCCTATACTAGTTTCTTAATGTACAAGAGATGTGAGTGTGGGTCTCCTTAAAGTAGCTACTTTGAACTTCATGCTTGCAAAAGTTAAGATTTTTTTTTCTTTTTACAACTACAACTAAAAAAATCTTCAGCAAGTAAATCAAACAGTTCAGATGTTACTCTGATATAATTCTTGGTCCAAGTAAGTGGATCAGTGCAGAAGTTGATTCATAAAGCTTACATGTAAGAAAACAAGTGGGATTTGTGTGTTGTTTTGGTGTCCTTTACCAATTTTAGTTTTTTTCTAGGTCATCTGACTAATGTTATTTCATTTTAAGACTGACAATTAAGACGGACAAGCCATCTTCCCCCCCCCCCCACTGGAAGTAGACTCCACAAAAATATTTCTATTGAATATTTTCCCCAAATATAGACCTTTTGGTGATTGAGTTAATTTACTCTTCCAACTGTGACATCCTGTTTATAAGAAGACATAAAAAATCATCTTGAGGATGAGCTAGCTTTTCTAAAGTCAACATCTTGGTGAAGTGACTTCTTAAGTGAGTCACGGCTATTCAGAAAAGATATTCCGGTTTTGAAAGAGAAAGTATTTGGAGGGAAATGCCATTTTGGTTTCATTGAGATGGAAACATTGAAAACATGGAATTGGCTGGTGAGCCCGTCCTGTCACATGATGGTTTTCCACACACATTTCCTCGGTGCTGGGATCCTGAAGAACCACACCCTGTGGTGTCAGGTCCTCATGCTGACATATGGTTGGCTCTGAAATACTTCCCGGGAAGGACTGAAAAGTGCAGTATTTGAAAGGTAATTTTGTAATATATTTAAAGGATTATTGATCTACAAAGAAAGCTAAACTTGGTTCTGGTTCACTAAACAAAAAATGTTCTCCTTCGTTGTTCTTGCCATGCAATTTTTGTAAATGTCATGGTGTGTTACTCCAAGTCCAACTTGCTTACAGTCATGTGGTACCTTGTGTTTAGTGTTTGAAGTTAATGTCCACCTGTAGTTTTATGAACTGTTCTACTGAATTGCTGGGTCAGATTTCTATGAATTAAATAAATTTTTATTCACTTTTCAAACATGCTACTGAAGAGGACCCTTCAGCTGCTGAGCAGGTCTTTTTAGCTTGTATAATGGCAGAATGGCCAGAAGCACGGTGTTGTGACTGCTTAGACTCTTACATAAATAAATAAATAAAACATGAGCCCAAAGCATCCCTAGTCTGTGTGTTTTAGATGCTAACATCTTTCTTCTCTGTTCTTCCAGTTATTACAAATCGAGTGGATAATGAGACTTAGTATACACAAAATAATGAAGTGCTAGAATAGTTGTATCAGGTTAAAATAAATTAAAAATATGACACAAGGAAACATCATCATGATCTGGAGAATGAATGATCTTTCTAAGAAACATTTATATAACTTGTTCAACACTAGATAGGAATCATTGAGTGAAAAGGAGAAATTCTATCTGAAGTTAATAACATGGACCAGTTTGCAAGAATGTTAGATTTCTTATACTTTGTAAGTCTAGACTCTTAAATCCAGTTTAACGAATATCTGGATTTTAGACTTCTGCAAATATAAAGTTTTTTCGCTTTGTCTTTTTCTTGCAGGTGGGTCAGATATTGAGTACCTGGACTTCTATAAGCCTGTCGTGTGGTTTTGGATCCTTGTAGGCCTCGCTTACTTTGCTGCTGTCCTGAGCATGATTGGAGACTGGCTCCGGGTTATATCTAAAAAGACAAAGGAAGAGGTGAGAAGTTAAAGCTTACAAAAACACTTCCATTTAGCTTATTCTGCGAAGTTATTTGGAATTATATGTTCAGCTTACATTTTAAACGATTGTTTCTGTTGAGTGTGAATTTTCTACCTGAAGCCATGGGGACGTGTCATATATTATAGTTTATTCAGTTGAATATTTGCTAAGTATTTGTATGCACCAGATGCTACCTTGAAACTAAGAGTAATTTGTCGTGAAAAAAGGATAAAATTATTTATTTTTCTTTTCTCCCTCAAGCGCACAAGGAGAATTTGATTCTCTAGGAAATATATGGTGGAAAATATTTGAAACATCAGGGGCATGAAATAGTGGAAGTTATATAATGTTGAATTCTTTATTCAGTTATTTTCCTTTATCTTTTATTTATGTAATTGTGTACGTGTGCCAGCATAGACACTGCACGTCGGCACACCGAAACGGGCATTTTCTCTGTGTTTCAGCTGATTTTAAAAGTGTCCTTTCACCTATTTAACTAACTATTCATATCAACACAAACAATTTTGAGCCATAAAGTTTTGGAAATTTTAAAATTTATTATTAAAATTTTGTTGATTATAAATGTGGGTTTGATTTAATATTTTCATGTTCAGGAGCACCATCAGTTTGATTGTGATGCAGTATAGATCTCGTGATGAATTCTGCAATTCTGGCTTCTGGGAGTGAGTCTTCTTTGTTCATTATTTGAGAACAGCCAGTCTCTGTCATCTGCACCTGTTGGGCACACTCGACCTGCTTCAGTTATCCCCCACTTTCTTCATTTCATTTTCTGCTGCTCGGGGGCTGGGGAAAGCGGCAGCAAAGTCTTAGTCTTCCCCCAACAAACACAGAATCTTTAAATGTATGCCCCCAAATAAATATGTAGCATAGAAGAGAAAATAGTAATGGTAAAATTCACTTCTCTCTACGTGTGCTTTCTCCATTTTTTTTTTTAATTGTTAAGTCATACCCCATCCTGTGAGGACTCCTGTGCTTAATTACCAGCAGTGAGTTCTCCAACCAAACCCTTCAGGAAGGCCAATTTTTTTCCATTAGGATTTCACATGTCCAGTCTGTATGTATTAATCTGTACCTTAGTTACACAATAAAAATAGAAACATCTTTGTCTTAAACAAGCAAGCAAGACAATATGTTTGACATTCTAACTGAAATGGTGTGAAAGTTCTGCTTTTTTATTGTTTTTATTTTCCGTGGTAAGGTTTTGTGCGTAAAGGATTCCCCATTCCCCCCTCCTCCCCTCCCACTATTTTCTTTCATATGATCATGATAGTATAGTTCTTTAGTATCAGTTATAAATATAACATTCTGTTTTTTTAAGAGTATCCAAGTTCTGCTTTGAACAAGACCTTGATGAATTCACCTCTGTCATTGTCGATATTAGAGGGTCTATAAGAAGGAAAAAAAAGAGAGCTGGAGAGAGAAAAAGAAACCTGTTTACTTTAACATTGTGTAAGGATCTTAAAATGCTAAGGAGAAAAATTTTAAAAACCCTAAAGCTAAAAATATTTTATCTAGCACATCTAAATATTCCAGTGCTCCAACATCCGGCCATAACCTGGCTTTGAAATGGAGTTAAAAGTATGAAGACATAAAGCATATATCTTAAATAAATTTGGACAGAACATATCTCATATATTAAATTTAGAATAGTATTGTTCTTTCAAATAGACACAAATACATGCATGTATAGTATAAACATACTATGTGTTTATATATTTTATATATTTGTGTGCATTGTATACATTAATATTAAATTATACATAATTTATGCATATGTAAATCACACATAAATATGAATTCATATTATATATGCCTTTCAAAAGCTTGAAAGACAGTAAGGCATATTTAGTATTTCAAAAAATGCATCTGTTTATCAGATTAATGTCAAATATTTGATTAAGGTTTAAGAACCTGTATCATTCAAACTAATGCTATTTGTAATAGGATAATTAATGCAAGGCATTCTTATACTCATTGTCCCAGAGTGGCGAGGTACTGTTGTAGTTTGCCCAGACTGTTTAATTCTGGAAACTGGGAGGTTGGATTTGCCCCTTCTCCTTGACTTGTAAATAGTGCCTTTTTTCTGTGTCCCCACAAAGCCTTTCCTCTGTGTGTACTGAAGGGGCTTTGGAGAGAAGAGAGAGAGGAAAGAGAGATGAGAGAAAAACTGGTGTGTTTCCTCCTCTTCTGAGACTGCTTAGACATAGCACCAGTCCTGTGGGATGAGGGCCCTGCTCTTAGGGTTCGGTGGAACCTACCCACCTTAAAAACTCTATCCCCAAACACATGTCACACACAGCAAGGGGAACACAATCCACTCTCTAGCACCATTGCTTTCAAAGGAATCTGCTTGTCTCCATGACCGATTTATGTAATGCGAAAAACAACTGCATCTACCTGCTTTTAAGTGGTCTTCATGACTCTCAATTGAAACTCTGAAATCTTTCATGGTCTTTTCAGGTTCATTAAACATGGAAGGTTAGGAACCATTTTTCCCCTTAGACCACAGATCTTTGGGGTTCTACGTACTGTTTTGTGTAAACATGTGCTTTTTGGTGATTGCGTCTGTCGAATGTTAATGTGAGTGAAGGGCACCCTTCTGGTCTCTGCACTCTGAAGCCACAGCTGTTCTGCACGAGTGAGCCAGTTAAAACAAAACTTTCAATTTCAGCAGATGTGTGTTTTTTGATTTACAATGCAATTTAGGGAAATGCAAAATAGTCCACAAATTCAGCCAAATGTGAAAAAAAGAAACGGAAAGGCAATTTATAATTTGTATGTAGATTATTAGGATCAGGGTTTTCATTTACACAATACTCCAAAAATTTCTGCAGCAAAGAACAAACGATTGCCAGATGATTCTGAAATAACTCAGCAAAGGATACAATTAAAAGGACACCATCTAAATAGATTGTGGTCCTTCCTTCTGAGGATGAACCAATGCCAGGGAACCACAGCAGGTGTTTATTTTTGTGCCTAAACTATTCTAGATATTTCAACTTTAAAATAACTCACAGTAGCCAGTGCTATAGCTATTGTTGCAGGTTAGGCCTCAGTTGGGGCATTGGCATCCCATATGTGTGCTGGTTCAAGTCCTGGCTGCTCCAGTTCCAACCCAGCTTCCTGCTAAGTGTCTGTGAAGGCAGCGGGGACAGCCCAAGTGCTTAAGCCCTTGTACCCATTGTAGGAGACCTAGAAGAATCAGATGGCCCCAACCCTGACTGTCACAGTCATTGAGGTACTTGAGCCAGGAGATGGAAGATCTCTCTGTACCTCCTTCTCTCCCTGTAACTCATTCAATTGAGAATAAATAAACTTTTTAGTAAATTAATGTATAAATTTTCAGAAACAGCAGTTTCATTTCTAGTTTTCATGTTGAGTGAAGAAAGGCTGAATTTTTTGACAACTAGGAATATTCTTTACTAAAAAATAATAATGAGTGGGCCTGGTGTGATAGCCTAGTGGCTAAAGTTCTTGCCTTCTATGCACCGGGATCCCATATGGGCTATGGTTCTAATCGCGGCCACCCAGCTTCCCATCCAGCTCCCTGCTTGTGGCCTGGGAAAGCAGTCAAGGGTGGCTTAAGGCTTTGGGACCCTGTACCCATATAGGAGACCTGGAGGAGGATCCTGGCTCCTGGCTTCAGACAGGCTTAGCTGTGGCCGTTGTAGTTGGAAAATCTTGCTCTCTATTTCTCCTTCTCTCTGTTTGTTTGCCTTTCAATAAAAATAAGTAATTTTTAAAAAAACATAATGCCATAAGCTTTTTTACTAAGGATTTTTAAAAAGCATTTATTTATTCATTTATCTACTGGAAAGGTAGATATACCGAGAGAATGATCTTCCATCTGCTGGCTCACTTCCCAACTGGCCGCAATGGCTAGAGCTGAGCTAATCTGAAGCTAGGAGCCAGGAGCTTCTTCCAGATCTCCCACTCAGGTACAGGAACCCAAGGCTTTGGGCTGTGCTTGACTGCTTTCCCAGGCCACAAACAGGGAGCTGGATGGAAAGCAGAGTTAGCTCGGTTCCCAACCAGCACCTATATGGGATCCCAGCAGATGCAAAGTGAAGATTTAGCCACTAGGGTATCACTCTGGGGCCCTCAAAGATAGTTTCAAACTTCCAAATAACTTGCTGTCCCTGAATGAAAAGTTTGGTTAATAGTAAGTCTCAGTTTTAAACTATTTTTTTCAAAAACAATTCTGCTCACACCATATTGGTGAAGTATAAACATACAGATGCAGTCATATGTGGCCTTTCATTTCTGTTTTTGATATTAAAAATAAATTCTGTTTCCAGAAAAGAACAACTTTAATGCAATTACTATGTTTAGAAGTAAGGGAAAATGTTGTTTTCCTTCAACATGCTATAATAAAACACATCGGTATAGTTCATCCATCTGAAATATTTGAGGAGGAAATGGTTAGCTGGAACAACACAGTGTTGTTTCAGAAGTGCCACATATAATTATAGTTGATCTGCATTGCTCAAGGAAAACAATAATGAGCTCAATAATTTTTCCATGGAGACATGCATTTATGTAAAGTGTTTGTTTCATTATTTTTAAGGCTCTGCTAGAGAATGGGCACATGTTTAACAGTAAATATTGGTGGGACTAATTATCTTTCCAGTGAAACCATGTAGCCCCTTCTAAGAAAAACTTTCCATTTAGGAAAAAATTACTTCGATATTCTGGTTAAGAGAGGGATGCTGCTACTGGGGACAGATACAGTTAAAATAAAATGTGACTGCACAACTCAAAGGCAAAACGTACACATGTTTAGGGAGCAAGTAAAGAATAGTGTATCCTTGCATAAGTATAGCTCGTTTACTTGTTGCTTTTTTATCTTGAGCTTGAAATGGCCTGTGATGGTTTTTTTCTCTTTTTTTGAAGATTCACTTGAGAGAGAGAGAGGAAAAGAGAAAGAGAAAGGGAGAGAGAGGGAGAGAGAGGAAGAGGCAGAGGGAGAGAGAGCT